AACAAGAGACATGAACGTGCTAGTCATACCATTTCTAATGGAGCCGGTGCATAAATCCCGAGCGCTCGAATCACGCTTGCTGATTGCGCTACTTAGGGCATCGGAAAGGCATAGCATTGTCTCAAACTGACTAGGTATTGTTAAAAAAACGGGTGTCACTTGTGTAGCAGGCCCTTCAGTAATAATAATAATAATAAAAATGGTAATAAATTTTCCGTCGCAAAAAACATCCAGCACCGTCAACTTCGGTTGCCCAGTCATGTGCTACGCATGCCGATACATCGTCTGCGGAGACAAGTGCCTCTTCCAGAATGTCGCAAGCTGCGGGGTGGAGAACGTGTGAAATAGTGTAAAGGTGTGTAAGTGATTGCGAAGGGTTTAGTTGTTCTTGGTGCGATCTGCCATCCAGGATGGAGTTCTCGTAACCCTCTCTGTCCAAGCTTCGGCAACCTGGCAATATCCCAGCCCTCGTGCTTCGTTCGGGTGGCATGGCAGCTAGGCACCGGAAGGTTGTTACAGCTGAACGATCAATATTATCCCCAGGCTTCATTGGGGACGTATCAGAAATGGGGATTAACGGATGTCACCGGCATTCTTGCCGTCAACTTCCCAGACTGGTTGTCTAGGTGTGCGCATCCCAGAATGCGTGCAGTAGAGTGGCATCCGTTTCTTCTCTCATCTAGTCTTTTCTTTCGTCAATTCATGACTTTAAGTATAATTAAGCGAACTTCGTAGTTGTACGGTAATGAAGTGCCAATGAGAACAGCGATGTTGTTGTCTTAGTTTATGATGACCTTGACGGCATGGCAGCAGGCACCGGAAGGTTGTTACAGCTGAACGATCAATATTATCCCCAGGCTTCATTGGGGACGTATCAGAAATGGGGATTAACGGATGTCACCGGCATTCTTGCCGTCAACTTCCCAGACTGGTTGTCTAGGTGTGCGCATCCCAGAATGCGTGCAGTAGAGTGGCATCCGTTTCTTCTCTCATCTAGTCTTTTCTTTCGTCAATTCATGACTTTAAGTATAATTAAGCGAACTTCGTAGTTGTACGGTAATGAAGTGCCAATGAGAACAGCGATGTTGTTGTCTTAGTTTATGATGACCTTGACGCACTACTCTACTCCAGATGTCCATAACTACCACAGATATGCTGGGACAAAGAGGAATGTCCCCAAAGTCCATCAGTGCACTTCGTTCCCTTTATTTTTACAACGAGATGCCCATAGGTGGGGTTCTCCCAGGTTCACTTGATACAAACATGGACTGCATTCTCCAAGCATCCAGTAATATGGGGATCAATGTTGTACCCGGGTAAAGATTAGTGGGCTTATATTATGCGGAGAATATCGTCTTGTTTTTCTATTATCCGCATGATTTACTCCAAATAGAATGTCTGAAATATTCCTTTATTTCATTATGCGCTTTGAACTTTCGAAGTGCAAAGTCTTGCTGGGAGATTTTCAATCCCCTTCGAAACTTCTAGGTGAAGAGTTGAGACTGTTGATCGATTTACGTATCTTGGCTATTGCTTAAGCCACTATTGCGATGTGAATTCAATGAAGTTAATGCACGCATTTGCAAAGTCCGAGCTCGAGATAGCTCAGTGGTTAAAGTGTGAACCTACTGTCAGGAAGTTCCATGGTTCGAACCCAACCCCGGCATCTCGACTACTCCTGTCTAGACTTGGACATCCTGACAGTATCTCTGCCATCGTGCTCCCCTTGGGTGGCATGGCAGCTAGGCTCCGAAAGAGTGCTACGGTTTGACGATTACTACTTCATATTTGGCATTTGCCACCTTGCGTCATTCGTGGTGCCAAAGACGAGTTCCACGGAAGCTGAGGTGCTTTCTTTACAAAGCAACCTCTAGCGTGGTCTTACTTTATGGGTGCAAAGCTTGGTCCTTCCGATCTAACGACTTGAAATGCCGCCAAATTTTTCAACACTCGTGTTTTCACAGCGTGGAAGTAGTCAGGTGGCTGCAGCATGTACGCAACGTAGAAGTAGGTAGACGGACGTTCAAATCATTCAGAATCTGTGGGGCGGCAAGGGTGTTTTGACACATAATGGTCATGCCCAAGCACCGTCTGTCAGATAAGAATTGTCATAGGTTTGTTAGCTGAGCTGGGCAGTTTGGTTGCAAACGGTTGATCACCACATGACGTCATCAATGCGTTGTTTGGGAGTGGGGCGGATCCTAGTGAATTAACTCTCACTTAGGGTATAGCGCCACTCAGCTGTACAGTGCTTCTCGGTTTCTCAACAGATTGGCCACACTTACAGGATCAAATCTCAATTAAATATTCAGATGGGAAAACCTATCCGTGGAGTCGACAGGTCCTTTGAAGTCGTGGAGAATAGTCACAGTTGGTCGGCGGTGTGTGGCGCCGCCTAGGCAATCTACTTAATCTGGAGATTTGTTAAATGTGCCCTTTACTTGGTCGAAATCCTTCCTGGTGCTCTCGAACTTGCGTCCTGCGTGATGAAATCAAACATCGCCGTTTTAGTGCAGCTAGTACAGTTAGAGTGGGGTCTATATCTTTGTGGTTGAAGCAGTCACCTTGAGTATCTTTTTGAACAAAGGTTCATTGACTGATCGACCCGGTTGTTGTAGCCCATCCTTATTCACAAATTAGCCAAATAACATAATCTAGGAAAACCACAATGACACCACCGTCTTTGAGCAACACTCGTGGGAACTCATCCGGCCCTACGGCGCTTCAAGACAGAAGGTCACGGTAGTACTTCATAAACTGAGGAATGGTCTTAACTCACAGACCATTATTCGAGTTAAATGGGTCGAATTAAATAATTGGGCATGGGACCAGACAATCAACTAAACTACTGTCCAAAGTATTCCGCCCAGTGGTCAAGATGCTGGTTCTTGTTATATCGTAAGTTCCGAACACCATCCCTGGTGACCTCACCAACAGCCGGTTTCTTCGGTCCCGTCTTCCTTACCAGGTGAAGTTTTCGGACACTCTAGCTTCACTAGCCTTCTTCATCTTCAGAGATTTCTGGTTTCACCGTATCAACACGCAGACAACGCTCGGGCTGACCTCCAACAGCCATTGTGGCTGAATTATGTTCAGCATTCGAGCGGACACGATTTCTTCCACCGAGGAGCGACAGTGACTGCACTAAAATGTTATCCTTTGGTGGGCCTTTAGAAACACCACATACTGAGTTTCCAGGTATTTGACTGACCGTCCTTATTTCATCCGACGAACACTGTTATAGGACGTAGAGTTGTCAATGGACATAATAAGAAGTCAACGCAGTCTGGATGTCAACCATCCAAAAGTCTAAGGGAAAAATGTCTGTGTTTGAGTGATTGAAAGAACGATCAATTCAGTTTTTGTATCCTTGTGCTTTATCATATTCAGTAAGCTAGGATACATATTGATCACTGTTACGTATCTGAAGGTTTTCTGAGGAACGCCCCGTACTTGAAGACGTTTTGACTTCCTCATTGGATATCTCTTATTGAGGGTCTTACTGTTCATAACAACGGATCATAATTGCTACCGAAAAACAATCTCTTACGTAAAAAGCTGTTAGCCTCCTGTAGCGCTGCCTATGGAGGCAAAATTCTTCGATAAGCTAAACACTCATGAAAAGTGCTTGCACAGTACTCCATTAATAGAAAACCCATTCGATCTTCGGTTGGATCTAATTGGATCGGTTAGTGCGCTGAATAACGACTTATTCGGGTGATTGAATGATCCACGAGCCCCTATGCAAAGTCGGAAAATAAGTGCCCCTCCCACCAAGTGGAGCAAAGTTACAAGGTCACGCTTAGCTCCTATATACTGTTCGACAATCGTCTCCTGTGACCGAATGAACCGGCCCACGCATGCACTCGACTGAAGCCTCTTTCACCTTGAATATAGGAAGTGAAGGATTCATTTCCCACCAACTGGACCAAATATTACACATTTCAATGATCAATCTAACTGGTATCGTGACAGGTAAGCACATCACCCAGATATACACATTGCAAGAGCCGGTTGGCGAACGTACCCTCCAACCCTTCAAATAAAAGAATAATGTCGCATTCAACCCGTCCATTCGGGCGATGTCCAGATCCGAGGCAAACTTGCCCCCTCCCTTCCCCCCCCCNCCCCCCCCCCCCCCCCCCCCCCCCCCCCCCCCCCCCCCCCCCCCCCCCCCCCCCCCCCCCCCCCCCCCCCCCCCCCCCCCCCCCCCCCCCCCCCCCCCCCCCCCCCCCCCCCCCCCCCCCCCCCCCCCCCCCCCCCCCCCCCCCCCCCCCCCCCCCCCCCCCCCCCCCCCCCCCCCCCCCCCCCCCCCCCCCCCCCCCCCCCCCCCCCCCCCCCGAAAATTTTCAGCCTTGCTCTTCAAACAAAACTGGCAATCTATAACCAATAGCAAAACACCCATAGCGGTTTTGCGTAGCTTTTTTTCATTCCTCAGCTCAGTCCTCGCTGTTTAGCTCTGCTGATTCTCTGCAGTTTCGCGTGGGCAGTCGTAGATGGAAATGTTAACCTCCTACGCACGTCAACTGTGCGCACCTGAGATAATAATATGAGCACCTTTTGTATTTGAGGCATTTGTTGCATTCTGGCAGGTTTTTTTCATTAGGAGGAGCATCCTGCACTAGGGACTTTTGAACTCGTCAGAATCATTCTATGCAAAGACGTTAATTATTGAGGACACTCGATTTGCTGCGTTAGACCCAGGTGAGTCCACTCTGGTCGGTTGACAGAAGCCGTTCTTCGACAAATATGGTCCCAATTAATGTTTTTGAGCCATGATTCTCTCCTTTTACTTTAGCGTTGATTTCGACTCACCGACACCATCTGTCTGTCTTCCTGTGCCGACTCTGGAAATGTGACCGAACCATTGGACGATGATTGACTCCGTGTCACGTTGAACGATCATCCACTGTCTAATCCCCGTAAGCGCAGTCTAGTTCTTAGCTCATCCGTGAGGCTTCCATTCATCAGTAGATTAAAGATTCCACCTCACCCTTATGATGTGTTCAACTAAGATAGCCGACTTGTTGCCGGCTGTAGTGACTTGGGCACTCTTATTGAGTGTGACTGCGGCTTACTTTGCATTTGTGTAAGTGCTCGTCTCTCCTTCAGCATAACCCCTTTCTCTAGGTGTTATTATTTTGCGGCGACGTACTCCTGGTTCATTTTCGCGCTGCATCTGATTTTGACAGTCTATGTACTATGTTTTCTGGTCCGATGCACTTTCATGGATCCCGGATTTATTGCATTTGGTATACCACCGGTTTTATCGCCTTCATTCCCACTGTTAGCCACTTTTGAAGAAGCAGACTACGAAGAATCTAAATCAGCGCCCATCAACAGAGAACACACCATAAATGGTATCCTGACCCGAGTGAAATGGTGTAACACCTGTCTTTTCTACCGCCCTCCTCGATGTTCTCACTGTTCTATATGCAATCGGTGTGTTGATGTAAGTCTTGTATCTGTTTACCCAATTGCTATTACAGTGTTTCGATCATCATTGTCCCTGGTTGAATAACTGCGTCGGGCGGAGGAATTATCGTTACTTCTTCCTGTTTCTTCTAACTCTTTCCATTCATATGGTGGCCGTATTTGTCGTGACGTTACTGTTCTTGTTGGAGAGCGAATTCCCACTGGTGTACTATTCGAATATCATATGGTATCCTTTCATGAAAGTGAGATAGGTTGAAGTCAAACCACTTCGTGTTTGTTTTACAGCGCCTGTTGGTTGTTAGTTTGTACGTCTTTCATTACGTCGATCTTTACGGTTCCCTTTTTGTCTCACAACCGGCACTGTTTTTCACACGCATTGCCTGCCTCATTCCCTCTCTTTTCATGGAATAACAGGCAGAATTTCTCCCTGAAAGATAGGCTGGCGGCTTTACTCAACCCTTGTCTAGAGTGATTTCAGTTGACGATGTACAACCGACACGCAGCTTCTTGCATAGATATCATGTCATAACACGTCATTTCCAATATGTCTTATCAATTTAAAGAATCCAATTGAATTGGTCTTGGTAACGTAAATCACACGTCTGTTAGTGTGCTTTCAGAATAGAAGTGTTATCGGAATTTGTGCACACCAACATGGAGTAGGATCACTGTCAATGATGTGGAATACCCCTGAGTTTTAAGGTGTTTATTTGCACGACTGATTTTTACCCATCCAATCATGGATGGCTCTTTACCCTCACGTATTCGGATATATCCACCTGGGAGTCAGATAAGACAGTTATTTGAAATTTTTCCAGTACCTTCTTCCCTGAATTTGCTTCAGCCATGTTGCAAGAAGATGATTTGTTACAATGCGCGAACTTTCAAAGCAGATGAACCGCATTGTTCCTGTCAAACGCTATTTTAAAAATGAAGTGTGTTGCTTCAGTTACGTTCACTTTGGTCACAGAGAGCATACTACAAATGGCTACAGTTGTGCTTTACCTGGGTGTTGTTCATGGCTGATGCTCTCTGAAAAATAACTACGTCTTACTGAAGTGTACCCCTTGCTCATAATCTACCTGTTTGGAAATCTTACTGTACGTCATCTGATGTTCACTTTTTTGCGCCGCCTGTTATTCGGTTCCTTAACCGATCCCTTTAGTATTATCATTCTAGTTCTCACTGGATTGTGTTTCTTTCCGGTCGTTGGTCTTCTTGGATTCCACATGTTTCTCATCTCCCGCGGAGTTACAACAAACGAACAGGTAGGTGCGGATTTCACCCCCCCCCCTTTTTTTGTTCTGTTCTTCGGTTCCATGGGGACGCAGTTCTCGAATTCACCAATGAATTCGAGACGGAACTGGGGACTCGATGGGGTCCCCCATATGCGGTACCATCCTGTACTCTTCTGCACAGTGTACTGCCCACAACCTGCTTGGAGATTCTATTGTAAAGACACTCAATTTTGGTTTAATGGGCGCAAAACATGGCGAAGCCGATAGTGGGTGTCTGCGAATTTCGAGAAATCGTTCCTTACTACATGTATGAGAACCAAGAAAAGTAGTTACTTGGATGTGTATGCACTTTTACATTGGGGTGACTGGGTCGTCATACAGTGGCAATCAACCCTAGCGTTGACTAGAGAAACTAGACTAGCTAGTTCGAGTCGACACTGTGTGGTGCATCTCATGTTTGACGTGAAGGGACCACTGATCTGCACTGAAATTTCTGTTGTTGAACTCAAGGCAGTATCAGGTCTGCTCATCGGAGGTAGAACTAAACATGTCTCTTCAATATTCTGACTAAACAAAAATCATTTGCCTGGCTTCATGCTGTCCGCGTTTCCCGATTTCCCTGATGATAAGCAGTTGAGCCAAGATTACCAAAATTTTTGGGGGTCATTTTGCCCATCAATCCATTGGTGAAGTTCACAAGACCGGGACAAGCTTTCCATTTAAGGCTATATCTCTTTTCTAGAGGGGGACGAAATCAGGACCACTGTATCCTTTGTGCCTCGCCTCTAGCAATAATCCGTCATACAGTTGTCTCTTGCCATAATTACTACGCCGGTTATCACCAAAAAGTGATCAAATGGCGCTTCGCAAAAACGGTGCCGGATTGTTCCCTCCGCTGTCGCTGCATACAGTCTGGAATTCAAAGATATCTTGCTAGTCAGTGCAGATCTCTCAGGAAGACTTATTGCGATTCTGAAGTCTGCATATCTAGACGCCATTGTCCCGGGGCTCCGAAACGGTCATGGGCTGCGGGTGCATGCATATTTATCGGATAGCTTATGTATAATGAGTGCTATGATCGAGTCTTGAGTTCTGGTCACTGAAACGTCCAGAACATCCGAAGTTTGGACGAGTCCTGTGTATTAGCCGGGCTGCAGAAGTGGTTTCACTTTAAAGGCAACGAGCGTGAATGACCTACGAGCGTCCACTGTATGGTTTGTCTGATGCGAGTTACGGCCATGGATCTCTGGGGTCATCCCTGGTGAAACAGCAGTGTGGCAAGTGGTAACACTTGGGTGATTAATACAGTTCAGATCAATGCAGCAATTCGGAATGGGAGGACCGAAATTTCAATATAAATAATAAAGAACTAGGGGTTGCGCAGGAAGTGTGTTGTGTTCAGGGGACAATCCGGCCATCTGCACTCCAGTCAAGCAAGAGCGATAGTGTACGATTGATCAGGAACTTGATATGCATGCGTGTGGGCATAATACCTCTCTGTTATCCAAACCGAACAAAAGAATTAACTTAGAGGTCCACACCCCTACGAAAGGTGAGATTTTACCTGCGCAATACAGTCGAGTTAGGAGTACTGCTTTTTTGTCTGAGTTTATACTGAAATGGATGAATTGTCAGATCGACATCAAGACATTTCGAGGCTCTTGTCAGGACAAGTTTGGATTCTCATCGACACACCGTATTAGTGAGGCGGAAATAATCTTTTATGACTTCAGGATAACAGAGGTTTTGTGCAGCGTGCGAAAATTCAGGTGTTGTCATCTGCAGACTTGCCCAAGTTCGCTGATATGAGTTTGAGGATGGTAGATACCTTTGACATCTAGTGAATCTAACGTACAAACGGGAGGGACATGCTGTTCAGCTTGTTTCCCGAGCCTAAGGACGATATTAAAACTGATACCTAAGTGCCTGTTACTGGTAGCTGGTTAGCGTGTGAATGTAGCGGCTAGCAAGCTGTCAATTTCTAGTCAGTCACTAGTAGCGATCCGGCGTAGCGGAAGAAGAAGCATCCGGGAATTAAGGTTCGTCCACCCTGTTGTATTGTATCAGCTAAGGTGGCCCGAATGATAGCACTGAGCAATGGCCTGATATCATTCGTGATCGTGAACTAGACAGCAGGACAATTAGAGACCTCCCTCAGAATCCTAACCAGCAGTACATCCTAAGTTTTTCTGGAACAATTTGGATTACCATGAAACTTGGTCGGACATCCACCTGGTGTGAGAGGCTTTGCAAGTGCCAGGCATGCACTCCGCAATGTAGTCCCGTGATTTGCGGAACCGGAACTGTCGTCACGCCGCCTTGAGACATAGTTTCTTCGAGACGGTACGCCGTACAAATCTTCGATAGGAAGGTACACGTTGCCTAACACTGCACGAGCGTGTATGCCTTTTGGGATCAACTACGTCAGCTTGGCGGACCATCCTTGTAGTGTTTCGTTGCAAATTTCCAGTACTGCTCCTGGAAAATACAGTAGTGACAATGTATTTTCATTTTGGGCCACCTTATCAAGGCAGTTTGCACTAGTGCTTACTGATCAACAGCAAGTTCATCATGCGTACTTTCGGGTTCTTCCTTCATAAAAATGTTGAGCTGTTGACCCGACTGAGTTTGCTGGTTGGTCTTCACACTTCGTTACCAGGTCATAGAATGTCCACCTCTCGGTCGCCTCCACTCAGCACAGGGCTGGGTGAAAAGAGCTGTGTGAGGCGGACGGTCCTCTGGCATGTGGAGCACATGTCCTAACCAGTATAATCTATGGAGCATGAGTAGCTCATCCGTTTTGGGGGAGTTCCTCATTCTTAAAACCATCTGGCATGCCTCAGTATTGCTAATCGGATGCTCCGACCAGACCTGGCAAACGGATGTTCAAACACTGACAGCTTTCGTATATTCTCTGTGCGTAGATGCCATGAATCTGATCCATAAAGCACTATGGATCGCACTGCCGCGGTGTAAACTCTCCATAAGATAGACAAACTGATGTCATGCCGGCATCGTACTTATTGGACATCAGCAAAACTGCCCTGAACTTCCCGACTCGAGGAGTAGTCTCATCTCCAGCCAGTCCACCGGAACTTGTACAACTGCTGACGTGAGCGAATTTATCTATCACGTCAATTAGTTAGTCTGAACTCATGAGATTTGAGTTCGATTTCACCCAATCTTATAGCGAGTGTGAGGCGCAACCAAACCATGCGGCTGAAGGGGAATGGTGTGTGTGTGCGAGAGAGAGAGAGAGAGTCGTGCCTTACACCACTGGACGTGATGAACCCAGGTGAAAGCTTGTTGTATGCGCTTATGCGCCCATGGAGGTCTTAAGGGCACGAATTTTAGAATGAACCTTTTGGATCGTCAAGCACCGCCAAGGTTTCTGACTATTGACACGGTCAAAAGCACACAAAAAATCCAGAAAACAATCCACGTCAGACGTTTGAGGGTGGCACTGTTCAAGAACCTGTCTCAACACAACTATATTGTATATGCATTTCCGGACAGAGCGAAACCCAGCTTCATTGTCACGCATTTCTCTCCCGATGATCGATCGGCCTGCACAAAACGATGCCAGACAATACCTCGTATGTGGCGGCTACCATACTGATGCCACGATGGTTTTTGCATGACGTTGTTATGCCCCTTCTGGAGATTGAAATCAATGTAGAGACGCTTCACTCTACTAGTATTCTGTCTGCCCTTCAAATTTTTTTAGTGGAGTCGTCAGACTGTTCACTAGGGCTTCATCACCTTCTTGGAAGTGCGCGGAATGCAGACAGTCGGAACCGCTTACCTTGTTACGTCGGAGCAAAGATGGTTCATGCTGAATTTTTGTTGTTGATGGGCTGGTTTCGATGTCTTATTTAGGCTCGTTGGGTTCTTGCAGAGGTTGTGTTGAAGGAGGTCGGCTGAACTGTCCTTCAAGGTATTCAGCGCATCGCCCAAGGCGATAATTCTGCAAGCGAAATGTCGTTCCATCTTTTCGCAAATTGTTTCGCTGGTACCTATATCCTTTTGTCCGATTAATCGAATCAGCTGAAGCAGGGGGCAACTGTTGCCTTCGGAAAAGGACTTCTCATCTCCCAGGCTTTCACGATCCATCAGCGTTTTCTGTCATCCTTCGATCTCTTGATTGTCCATCGTCTGCTACTTTCTAGTTGCTTATATGGCTTTTCTGGAAGCAATGAGGTATGATTATATCGACAATATCCAATGTTCACTTGGTCGAGTCGGATGGTTTGGACGGATTGTCCTAAAGGCTGAGAGCACAGCTTCTTTAACTTGGTTGCATTACGGGCACCCTTCTTCGTTCTATTTCCCGGGAGCACAAACAGGAAGAAGTGGTATTTAGGGAAGATAAAACCTGTAATCTAGATGGTCCAGATGGCGTGACGTGTTATCGGACCAAGTCATGAAAGAAGTAAAGACTTCCAGCGGGTGGATTCACCTCGAAGGCTCTGTGGTGGTTAGAGGAGCCACTATTGCTGGTCGAAAGTGTGATTGGTCGATGGGAAATAAATTGCAGACTCATACTTAGCGCTTATGGCCATTAGTTTCCGTGAGAATTTGATTTCTCCATATGATAACACGTTTGTACACAACGCACGTCACGAAATTACAGCTATTATATCACGATGTCCATTTGGTAGATCAGCCAGCCTAAAACCTCTTGGGAAACGTGACCAGACTTGTCTGTGAGGGTCGTTCTATCGAGGAACGGATATCGAAAATCATGGGGCAGTGGACAAAAGCAGCTGGATATTTGTTGGCATTCTGTGAAAATGGTGTCAGAATCAAGAGTAAAGTAGCCGAGTTAGTTCAGCATTTGATTCGTTTTTGCCGTAATAGCATCTCTCACCCTCGTAGCATTTAGCTATTCATGCCGGTTGTTGCGTTATCTTGTCCTAGGTAAGCTCTCCTCATGTTTGAAGGTTGTGAGTTGAGAGTGCACAGCTAGTAGGAACGGCGGGTGGTCGTATTAGCGTCGCATGCACAATACCACCACGGATAGCTGGAGGGGGGAATTTCCGTAACCAAGTAGCGTAGATGGTCGTTGGTTTGTTCGTTGGGCTGGGTAACTTGATTGCAAGTGCTTCACCACAAATCCAGGTGACATCATCAATGCATTGCTTGGCAGCGTAGCGATGGGTCGCTTCCCATAGCTGAAAGAATCGTATAAGCAAGAATTTTCGCTACCGTTGCGAAGAATCTTCATGACTTCGGTTCAACAGATAGCCGTTTTTTCGTTTGCCGAGCCGGGCGATTCGGTTGCAAATGTTTCATCACCACCGATCGAAGTGGTGTCGCCAGTGCGCAACGGCTACACCAGTCCATATGGTTACACAATGGCGCACTGGTAACACCACCCCGATTTATGGTGTAGCATTGCAACCAGATTTCCCAAAGTACAAAACCAATTAACGACCATTTTCTGCAAAACGAAGCTGATTTGGCGAACAAACTGGCCTCATAATCCGATGGTTAGTGCAGTTGTCGATTAGTATCACATTCGACTCGCGCTGCACTTTATTCTAACGAATGATAGCTTCTGTGAAAAGTCACTCTCACGAATTCAGTTTGCTGTTCCAAATCCAGACTTTCAAACGCACGATAGATATTTGGAGTTGGCATATGGCGCCACGGCTTGCTGTATCTTATCTCTTGCTATCTGCTCCCAGTCCACTGAGGAGGCGCTTTAGCTCGTACCGAATTCAGAGTGGCGCCGACTCGAAGATTTATGATCAAAAGCGAAGTGCAAGGATATGAAAGTACGATGATAGAAATCTGCCGTCGGTAGGACCCTCATGGCCTTCCTAGATAGTTGTCTCTAGCGTCCCACAACTTGCCAATCTGATCAAGTGTTGAGGACCCGAAGTTGCAACTTCTCCGCTTTTCTCTTAAGGCATGCTAAATACCCCTCGTTTGCTCTCTCAGTTCTCAACACGATAGTCAAACAAGCTTCGAATAGATCGCTGGTTGACGATAATGTTCTTCAGTCGGCTGTGCAATCCAATTGCTGTTCAAGATTCGTTTGGGTTGATATTTGGGATATAGAGGCTTCTTCCCTCACAGGTGGCATGGGATGACTAACTACAAGATTAATTTTACTCCGATGTGTTAAATGTTCCACGTCAAGCGTCCAACAGCCAAGGGTGACTCAATGGATTGCCTAGTTTGGTCTATCGAGACCAGTTCGAAATGTCGCCCCTAAGGTGATCATAGCCGTTGTGTATATAGGATCAATCTCCTCCCGTACTTGCGGAAGTTAGGCACCAAAAACCGATTCATTGTTTGACAATACAATATACCGGTGTAGCGCTGCATACTACTGATGAAGGATGCAAGTAGACTATGGTCTGATACCCAAGCTCCGCCCCCCCAGTCAGATGGAATGTGAAGGTCACTACATAAATTATGGAAGTGTTTTGCAATGTTCGTTTTGTCATTTTTTATTATTCAATCAACGTCCAGGAAAGTTCAAAAGGACACCTAAGGGTGTTCACCTTTCGAAAATTCTGCAGATGAGATATTTACTTTCGTGTCTAATTGCTTATAACCGCTTAGTTCGTGTTTGCTAGTAAACAACATCACAGCGGAAGGCATTCTCCCCTTCGGCGGTAGATGATGCCGTTTTTATTTACTCGAGTCACTGGGCTTTTGTTACTCGTCTGCAGTATGTGTTTTTCGTCCATTGATTTGACTGTTCTTTTACTTCGAATTTGCTGTCAACGCAAATGCATTATGTGCAAACGAAGCCTGTTTTCTGGTTCTTCAGTGATTTTTCTGTATGAGCATCGCGCGGACGTGACCTCCAGGATAAATCAGCCACCGTCTGCTAAGGTTTCGCGTTAGCAATGAAGTTGCGGTTGATCCGTGTCACTTTGCCAGAAAATCTCGGAGGTAGGGATGGCGTTTTTTCAGTCTGAGCAGATTACTTGTGTTTCGTAAGCAATAAAAATGTTTTGAGATTTAGTCCTTAGTTGGAATCAGCGTAGTCTCCAAAGACGGGGTTGATCATACAGTTTATACTTTTCCCACAAAAGTTTTGAAATCACCTGGGTGTTATCGATCGAGATCGACTTGACTAGGAGCTGTGAGGGTTGTTGGGACCATCAGCAGTGTGCATATCTCTAAGGTAGCAGACGGCTAATCAGCGGTGTCAGTGAGTAGGAGGGAAGTTCCTTCCAAGTCATGCGAGCCACATATCCAACAATCCATCGTTCAAGGAGCCAGCAACAAATCACGAGTTGTCTGATTAAAGATAATGACACTGTATAGTGGCTAATCGTGAGTTACTCACTGCAGACTAGCCACTCGTAGCTGATGACATAGTGTTCAATTTGTGGCTTCGAATAATTAAAACATAATCGTTCTGTTGTAACATCCTTTCGGTGCCCAGCTGTCATTCAACCTGAAGGAAGCACAAAGCTACTGCCAGGTTGCCAAAGGAAACTAGAAATGCTGAGGTCGGGTTCCAACCATGGACCTTGCAGTCAGTAAATTCGCGCTCCAACCGCTAAGCCATCTCGTTCCTGTGTGTTAGAATCCCGAACATCCATTCCTGTAGTCCATACTGTAGATGGTTCCCGACGGAGCAGCGATATTTCAGCTAGTCCGCGTACATCCCTCGACTGGCTTCACAAGTGGCTAGGCGTCTTGAACACAATACCGCCATTTTGTGAGAAGCGGGGAACTCTTGTCAAAGTTGCCACACGTGGGTCTGCTTTTGTGGTATTCCGTGGACCGGTGAAGAGCTGAGAAAACCACATAGCTTATGCTTATTTTTCGGGATTAGACGGTTGGCGTGCAGTCTAGCCACCGCTATCATCTATCCATTTATCGTGTGCGTCGACACATGGAGAAATGCATGATGTAGGCCGTTAGTTATGCTGCTACAGATCTATTTATCTAGTATCACAGCTTATCCGTACCCTCTATCTGCTCCAGGTAACAGATAAATTCCGGGCTCACATTAATCCCTTCAACTCTGGGTGCCCGGCGAACTGGAAGCAATTTTGCTGTGCACCCCAGTTCCCCCGGTAAGTCAAGACTGCGTGTTTTTCTGCCTAATTAATCTCTTCCGTGTGGTCTTTGTTTGCTGCACTGCCGCGCACTGGGCTTCATCCCAATAATCACTTCTTTTACCCACAATTCCGGATTCGTGAGAATGAAGAAGGTAGCGAACAAAGCTTGTTTTCTGTGATTGTTTTTCTTGGCTAATACATCGCAAATTTATATGGTAGCAGAGATCACGTGGAAGAGGTTAAGATCGGGGCTACATACACTTTAGAGGAATAGAAATCAATGGAAGAGGGGTTGAATGAGGGATAGGTCAATGGGTCACGGAATCAGGTAAGTGACGTCAATGTCAGACAGACTTATGGGACCGGATGTTTCGTAGGCCAGTCCAGAGGTCGCACAGGTTTCTTTTGGATGCAGAGTTGCGGATCCAGCAGTCGGATTCCAATCGCCCCTGCGATCGACAGTAGTCTGGATCGTACCAGCCGTGATTGGTTCAGAGGTACCCAGTATATGATGGTAAAGGCTTGCTCCTTGTCTATGACATGACGGGTTCCGGCCAAATGTGATGCAATCGCGCTTGAGCCTGGTTTCCCCCCACTACCACACAGAGATACGGGGTTGTGTTCTCGCATTCTGTTCGACAAATGCCTTGTCGTTCGACCAACGATGCTCTAGTATACAAATGAGTACACACAGAAGCTGGTGGTAGAACGTAGTAATTTATCCTTCAAGCGGAATTCGATATTGGGGCTGGAGTTGAAGCTCAAACACAGGCTAAGTATGTCGTATCAACAGAGTTTCTAAGCCTTCTGGTAATTAGTTCAGCAACCGAGTCACCTTTGAATGGAAGCCTCATGTATATGAACTTCTTCCCAACAGAACATTGTGTAGGTTTGGGCTTAACGGCTTCCATGGTCTTGAGTACGAGCCTTTCAGAATATCCATTCTGCAGGAAGTGCGTCCCAAGAACTTTAGTTCCTCTTCTAAGTAGTCGGGGGAGCATATCTTCATTGCTCCTTCAGTCAGGCATCTAATTAGGTTACGCTTTTGTTGCAACGGAACGAAGCTATCAAAGCGAATATACTGACCTTTCAACGTTTGCTTTCTGTGGACCTTGCGTTCTGTGGTCCCGTCAGTCTTCCTTTTAACACTGACATCGAGGATTCATCATCATCACCATAAAGATCGCGTATCTTTTGTACGGTAGTTATAGCTGCCGCATCTCCTTTCGCCGATGATCTGGGGAGATAGCTACTTTTGGAGACGATAGCTGATATAATGGACATGTGCACACATGAGTATCCGTGAACTCTTGATTGAGGGGATCATGAAGGCAAGTCATGCATTGAAGGCAACAGCTTGAATGCCTGCGCGTGATGTCAATGTCTCTAACCATTGATGTGTCCCGTCTCGGAGTCCCTGTCTAGGCAATGACCAACTAAGTTGAATTTGCTGGTAGCAGCTTCCGTACTTCTCTGTCGAATATTTCGTAGATTCGCACTGTGATTTATCGAGTCGTTCGAACTTTGGATGGTGTCTGTTAACGTCCTATCTTGTTCGCTTTTTGTATGCATCATCTCGGCATCTTTATGTTTTGTTGTATTGTATTTGGACTTTGCTTGACTGATTTATTTAGCTACGTTTTTTCTACAAAACCTCTTTCACAGTGTCTATCAGGATGGCTGCATTTGAGTTCCGGTCTGCTGTATTGTTTGGATAGCTCAGTTCCGTTCGCATAACTAAGTAAGCTGTGCGCCGCACCGTTCTTATACCGTTAATCGGAATAGTGTGGTCTAGCTTCGTTTATTCCCCGTGAGTTGTGGTTACTGGTTCACTGAACCGGTACGATGGTACTTCCGCTGGAATGTGAAAACTAGACAGCAGTTAGGCGCAGTTCCCGAGCCAACCTTACGTTCTACTTGAAACCAAATTGCACGAAGTTCGACAATTTCACTCATTTGCATATCAGTTTGGTTTCCATGAGACACTCACCTGAAACCCAGCTGAATCTCTCGTTTATGATGTTCTTCAACTGAATGTGTTGCACCAGGCCGCCTCAAGTCTCAGTTTGTACGATATTCAGTATATCGCGATACACTGTACTCATACGGTTGCTGAACACTGTTCGACAGCCCACAACCGGTTTTGCTCTTGTCGGGACTCATCAGGCAGGTGCCGTCCCCGAGTTTCCGTCAACCTTCTGTTTTACTTGAACCCAATTTGTACGAACGTCATAAAGGAGATTCACCTGGGATTCAGTTGTGCGAGTGTAGTTCGCGAACTTCGTACAATTTAGTTTTAGGGGTTGATGGAAACTCGGGAACCGCACCTACCTGATGAGCCTCTAGAAGAAAGAAACCGACCGCGGGTTGTCCCTGAGTTTTCAACAACCTTATGAGCAGTATTCCTACAAGAAAATAACTGCTCTATCTGGAAAGTTGTACAAACTGAAACATGAGGTGGCCTTTGTGCAGCACATGCGATTGAAGAATATCACAAAGCAGATACTCAGCTGGAATTCAGTTGAGTCTCCCGTGAAAACCACATTGATGTGCGCATGAGTGTACCTCGCGAAATACAATACGTACCATTCAGTAAGGCGCTGGTTCGTTGGATTCTACTCCACGAATATCTTGGTTTTTTCTAAGGTTAGGAAAGGCCTTCTGGTGACAAGCTGGTGCTAAAGGTCTAATTATTATGGAAGCAGTCGTTTCGAAATACGATAGGGTGTACCGGCTGGTTTGGAAACCCATAAATCGTCATCTAGTCGTGTACATCGGCCAACTTCCTATCCAAAATACGCGTGCTGTTTTGCCAACGTTACCCTTTCGTCATACACAGCAAGTACAGTGTGGCAAGTTTTACGGCGTCTTCAGGTATCTCTCAGTTACCTTTGTTTACTGAATTTGTATGACTTGTCCTTGAGACACTGCAGGGAATTTCACATTCCGTTCGATTTATGGCTTTATTTTACGGGTATCTTGCCATCTAGCAGGTGTACAACACCTGCTTTCTCATTATGGAGAGCTTCTTTTCAGTCAAATTTGACCGCAGTGGTCGTAGTAGAATCGATGTTGAGGTAGTTTCGAGGTTAGGGCTTGATCGACAGGTCTTCGGTTGTTCTGAAACAACCTGGAATTCCCTCAGTTGTCGTTGTTCCGTCGGCTCAGAACACCATAAGGATTCAACAGTCAGTCCGTGGTGTATGTCACTTCTTCGTTAGTGTCATCTCTTGCCATAGTGTGAATAATACTCCAAAATTTGATCACTTTTGTCAAGTGTTGTTTGTTTATAATCGCTTGATCTGAAACACGAGTGTTGTGCCTGGAAACGCAGTAACGGACACTTTATCCCTGCTTGGTTTCTCATATGTGATGTATTCCGTTATCTCTATCGTGTGTGTGTGTGTGTGTGTAAGGTTCCAGTCAGCTCACTTTTGACTCCTGACTCTTGTGGAATGTGATCAGCACGCTCATATTCGTGTGTTGCCCTTATGTCCATTGGAATGTCTAGAGTTCGTATTCGCCTCTAGTATGTTCTGTTCTCTCAGATTTAATCAACCAACAATAGGTCCTGCCGCATGCTCGACTTTGAATGGTACCTGTGCTGATGTCAGTATTGCTAGTCGGCAGTATCCCATTTGAAAAGAGCTAACCTCCACAGAATCAGTGACTCTTGATCCACTGTTCGAGGTTTTGTTTCATCTGGAAATCTCTACATTCGTTGATAGAGAAGAGAGCTTCTGACCTCCTTGTTTAAATCACTTCTAGAACTGATCATCATCACAGGGAAAGAACAAATGATCATGGTAAAGAATAATCTAAGGTGTGTTCTGATACAGCCGGAAAAGTTTCATCTGTCTCTTGACTTCTTGGATCCGTCCGACGCTGTCTCTTTTGAATGGCTCCGAAAATCCTCGATCCTGCTTCAGGCCTACATCGTGACAAGGAAACCAAACACATGGAGGAAACACTGGTGAGGACCTTCGCAAGCTGAATTATCCTCATCCCCACTGCGATTTGCCCCGCAGATTCTTAGAGATGGTCAGAACAGGACTTTGTACCCTTATCGATTAGAGCCTCGGAGCGTGGATAGCAGGATACTAATGGAAAATGTTCAAGTCTCGGATAAATAACCTTCCACCAACTTATTGACTTTTGTAGTAGGTCATTCGAACAACTTCTGCACTCCTGTCTCCCATACTTTTTCTGAAATCAGCTTCAGAAGACTTAGATTCACAGTTTAGACGAAAATCGGAAAGAGGGGTGTAGTCATTGCAGCATCGATTAGAGCCTCGGAGCGTGGATAGCAGGATACTAATGGAAAATGTTCAAGTCTCGGATAAATAACCTTCCACCAACTTATTGACTTTTGTAGTAGGTCATTCGAACAACTTCTGCACTCCTGTCTCCCATACTTTTTCTGAAATCAGCTTCAGAAGACTTAGATTCACAGTTTAGACGAAAATCGGAAAGAGCGGTGTAGTCATTGCAGCCGCTTCGGCTATCCTTCGAGTCTGATTCTCACCTCTGTTTGCTTACCTGTGCTGGATGGAGTTGCTAAGGGCTTTCTCAGCTGATCTGTACGTCTGACGCGCAGGAAGTATTGCAGCGCCAACTTAACTTGTCCCATCCACTTTTTTGAATAACGCAACGTAGTCTTACTAGTAAACTGATCCACTCAGTGGTTCCTTCTCCAATCCAGGTTCCTAAAAATGAACTGAGCAGCAACCCTGGCACCCCAGGCGAACATAGATAGTATCTAGAGCTGTTCTAACAACCTAGAGCTTCTGTGCTCTTTTAAGTAATTAACCACGTGACAAAGGTATCTGCCACACTTCCTATTACTCATCCAAATAATTCAACAATAAGCGCTATGTTTGTGAGTGACAACCGGATTCGGCAAATCGTGTCTTACTTGTTGTTTATTGATTTTCGTCTTCTCCGCTGCTTTGTGATGATTAAGGCGTGCAACAACAGCTGTTATATTCACCTGGAAAAAACTAGCATATGGGCTCCCACGTGTTCAATTTGTTGTTCATTCCCTTTGACAGGTTGCTCAATCCAAATGCGCCGCGGAAAAGAAGGAAAAAGTTGTGGCTGAAAAACCATACCGACCCCACTGGTGGACGAAGTTTTGTTGAAGATGCACACTCCAAGCTGTTAAACGAGACATCCGGACGATCCTTCAAGCAAAACGCGAATTCACATGCCAATTTCTCAGCAGACCACCGTGAGATTCCGGTCGTTGCTTCTAGCCAATCAGCCGTCAGGAAAGCCGATGAACTCTCGCTCCAGCCATCCCACATATACACTGCACACAAAAATACCGGCCAAAGTCTATTTGGACATTTGGAACCGAGAGGTCCCCTAATCGATGACTTCCGTGTCTCGCTATTGCCTGATCGTCGTCCTGTACCCCCTTCGCAACCTACAAACAATACCGCTATAGCTGTGGAGGTTCATGCGGGTTCACCGTCTTCCGAAATCAAAGTAAGTTGGTGGTATGAACAACTGTCTTCGAAATCGCGATGGAGAGAAGAGTTATCTACACACACATACACACACATGCTGAGCACAGCAATCTTTTCGCTAGCGTCTTGTAAATTAGTTTATCACGCTTGCTCACCTCTCCGGCGATCGTGACCTAGAGTGAACGTTACAGTCCTGTTTTCCCTGTTTACACCTCGTCTGTTCCAACCAGGGTTTTCGTGACTTTTGCGAAAAGGAGAGAAGAAAAGATCCCAGTGCCTTGCTTGTGCCACTATGAATTGGGCATGGAGAACAGCACTACTTTCGATAAACGATGATTTGACATGCACAGTACATGGCCAAGCCACCGCATCTCCTGATGGTGGACACATTCTTCGATGGAAGTCTCTGTTGCACGACTGAATACTCGTTTTCCAATCGCTTTGTTGCGAATTCACCGACACCAGCCTACACTAGTTATGGTCCTGAGACTAATTATTGAAGACCCGAAAATTTCTCAGTTTCGCTGCTCGCAGAGGCCACGTCTCTCAGCCATACAACAAAAAAGCCCATACTGTAACCCGGTGACGCTTTGATGCCATAGTTGTCTCAAATTAGCAAACGCAACCCGAGTTACCTCACCGGTCAAACAACAATAGGAACTAGTAACACTTCCAAGATACGTAAAACGCTCCACGACTTCTGGTGCCTATCCTCAGATTGAAAGTTACGTTGTCAGTCCACAAAACTCCGCGTAACATTGAGGAGCCTTTTCTCCGTTCCTTAGGTTCATCTGCATCGCATAAGCCAGAGTTGGGATGATGGAGCGACGGGATCGTCATAATTACAAGTTTAAACGGTCAACCCCGTCACGTGTCGTAGCACACCGATTGGATGTAAACAAGTATATTTCAACTTCTATGTTGGTTGTGTAAACGTTGATCAGCTGGACCCACCAAAAAGGCAGTGGATATGAACTTAATAGCATTCGGTCAGATAAACTGGAAAGCAAGGGGCCACCAAAAAATCTATTGTGTCCGCTACGGTAACTATCTTAACCCATGGAAGAACGAACTATTACCATTCAAGCCTAGTCTTATCAAAGACGTGGATACCATCCATCGCCGCATGCGTGTCATGTCACTTCATACTTTAGTTAACCCTTATTGTGTAACCGTGAGTTTTGCGAGTTCTCTTTCCCTAGTTCCCGAAGCGAAATCTTAAGCGTATAGCTAAGTCAGCACAGTTTGCATTATTGTACACATCCCTTCCTGATAGACCGCTCCTATTTGTTGATCTCACTCGTCTGATCTTCCACAGAGCCTCTGTGAACAAAGTGACTCGCAGTTCATTCTCGTATGTGGTATCCTTTGCTATCCGATTTCGAAGCACCTGGTAGAACCACTTGTCACACCAATTTATGCTTACAGATTTGTGAAATCAGTTCTCATCGCGGGGCTTACTTCATTTCGGAACTGATAGGTATGCTTCTAGGGCCCTCCGCCTCCCGTGAGCCCGAGATGGATCAGTGGTTAAGGCGCGAACTTAGTGATCAGAAGGTCCGTGGTTCTGTATCTCTGTCCAGACTTTGGCAACCCGTCATTATCTCGGCCCTTATACTTCCTTCAGATGACATGGCAGCTGTGCGCTTGAAAGATGTTACACCTGAACCGAACGACGGAACCGGCCTCTCGTCACACGCGTTTTCGGACCCATAAAAAATGAGAAGAGAAACAACGAATGGACATCACAGCAATCACATACACACCGTATCGTGTGCTCTGTTTTGTTGCAAACACCGATGTGTTATCGATGCAACACTTTGGCCTCAAGATGCTGCTCTGTTGCTATGAGACAAAAGATGTTATATGCCGCCGCTTGGAACGTTTGTGTAGGTTATAGGGAGGTGTGCAGTATTCATGTTACCATGACAGAATTGATAGTAACAGTCTTGTCGAGATATTCACTCAATTAGGTAAAAGCTGCTCCGGGAATGTGAGGATAAAGAACAAAAGGTGTCTTAGTAAAACAGCCGCCACCTGTCACTGTTGTGCACACCAACTGTACAGCTAGCTATCCCGACTAAACTACTGTGAGCCTTTTCACACCTCTACCTTATAAACTGCACGCCACACGCTTGTGTGAATGTCAAGGGCCGTACGTGCATTCGGTTTGTATCGGTGATCAGTTGAAGCGAAGAATACCAAAGCACAGCAGACGAACTATGGAATTTTTTTTAGGTTTCTGAATGTTTTATGAACAGCTGCTATCAATGCCCACATGTTGTTTACGATTTATCGGTTTCTTCAAATTACAGGTTCGTTGGTTACGTCGAGAGAGCGTAAATCACTCATTCGATTGGCGTGCAACCCTTGCTGTTTCCACTGCGAACAGTTGCCCCTCAGTTATTGATAATAATAATAATGATAGTCGTTCAGCACCCTTTCCGTGCCCCGAGCTGCCATGTCACCCGAAGGAAGCACGAGGCTGCCCGAGTCTAGGCAGAAGCAGTCGAGATACCGAGGTTAGGGTCAATCCACGGACCCCACTGAGCTACATCATGCCTCCTGGTTGAAATAGCGCTTGTCAGATCCATACCAAAAACAAGTTATTTCCTGTGGTTGTTTAGAAAAACCATACCACCGTGTCTCGTCCGATTCGGAACACCGTCCACGGTCGTTTCTAGCCAACAACCCAGATTTGAAGGCACAGAAAATTGCTTCAGTCTTGTGCCTAGTTCATCCACTGGGTGATCCAAACATTGATTAAGTCAGTATCAAGAACTAAATCGGGACAGATTGTGTTAGCGATTCCGTGGTTGTGCATGGAACACGAAGTGCGCTGATCGAAATGACCGTTTGACTTGTTTAGAAAACAGAATGCGAAGAAGGATTACCACTCTGTCGGTCGAATGCCTGCTGGAAACATTTGACAAATATCTGAGTCAGCTATGGAATCTCAGTCGCAATTGGCATACTAATGGAGAAAGTACAATTAGATTGAACCGAAGTCAAGACAAAAATGTTTCCATTTGGTTACCCGTGCTGGGGTACTCTGACCTTCGCGGCGTGTTTGTTAGCTGACTTCGGTTCCGTAGCTAGCTTAAGTAGTTGTAAAATTGCTTTGAGTACGCGCTTGCCTGCAGTGATTTTTCAAGAAGGGTTTTCCCCGCATTATCTGCTCTCCATACCTCGACGGACGTGTTTCGTAATATCGACTTGGTTAATCGTTGGTTTTTTATTCTTGTACTACGCCGCAATGCTTTTCCTCCACATTTCACGCTGTTTTATCAAATTGGGTGGGAACTCAGTCACAGTAAGGCGAATAGGAAAGCAACTTAATGCAGCGATAGTCTGGAGCGCATTTTTACTCAAAACAGCTGAAGTGATCGCCTTTCAGATAGGTGACTCTCCTCCTTGCAAGCAAAAGATACCTGCAAAAGCTCCGGTACTGCCTCGGCTCACCAACCAAAGTTTCCCATCAACGAGTAGATAGTGTCCGTTTTTTTACCAATTCAGCTGCTATCAATGCCCACATGTTGTTTACGATTTATCGGTTTCTTCAAATTACAGGTTCGTTGGTTACGTCGAGAGAGCGTAAATCACTCATTCGATTGGCGTGCAACCCTTGCTGTTTCCACTGCGAACAGTTGCCCCTCAGTTATTGATAATAATAATAATGATAGTCGTTCAGCACCCTTTCCGTGCCCCGAGCTGCCATGTCACCCGAAGGAAGCACGAGGCTGCCCGAGTCTAGGCAGAAGCAGTCGAGATACCGAGGTTAGGAGCTGCCATCCCGAAGGAAGCACGAGGCTGCCCGAGTCTAGGCAGAAGCAGTCGAGATACCGAGGTTAGGGTCAATCCACGGACCCCACTGAGCTACATCATGCCTCCTGGTTGAAATAGCGCTTGTCAGATCCATACCAAAAACAAGTTATTTCCTGTGGTTGTTTAGAAAAACCATACCACCGTGTCTCGTCCGATTCGGAACACCGTCCACGGTCGTTTCTAGCCAACAACCCAGATTTGAAGGCACAGAAAATTGCTTCAGTCTTGTGCCTAGTTCATCCACTGGGTGATCCAAACATTGATTAAGTCAGTATCAAGAACTAAATCGGGACAGATTGTGTTAGCGATTCCGTGGTTGTGCATGGAACACGAAGTGCGCTGATCGAAATGACCGTTTGACTTGTTTAGAAAACAGAATGCGAAGAAGGATTACCACTCTGTCGGTCGAATGCCTGCTGGAAACATTTGACAAATATCTGAGTCAGCTATGGAATCTCAGTCGCAATTGGCATACTAATGGAGAAAGTACAATTAGATTGAACCGAAGTCAAGACAAAAATGTTTCCATTTGGTTACCCGTGCTGGGGTACTCTGACCTTCGCGGCGTGTTTGTTAGCTGACTTCGGTTCCGTAGCTAGCTTAAGTAGTTGTAAAATTGCTTTGAGTACGCGCTTGCCTGCAGTGATTTTTCAAGAAGGGTTTTCCCCGCATTATCTGCTCTCCATACCTCGACGGACGTGTTTCGTAATATCGACTTGGTTAATCGTTGGTTTTTTATTCTTGTACTACGCCGCAATGCTTTTCCTCCACATTTCACGCTGTTTTATCAAATTGGGTGGGAACTCAGTCACAGTAAGGCGAATAGGAAAGCAACTTAATGCAGCGATAGTCTGGAGCGCATTTTTACTCAAAACAGCTGAAGTGATCGCCTTTCAGATAGGTGACTCTCCTCCTTGCAAGCAAAAGATACCTGCAAAAGCTCCGGTACTGCCTCGGCTCACCAACCAAAGTTTCCCATCAACGAGTAGATAGTGTCCGTTTTTTTACCAATTGTATGGAAACATTGTGCTCTACTTTATCGATGTATCTACCCGATGAGACACGATTGAAAGTGGTCGTTCGCAAATTGGGTCTTTTCCTACTAAGATAAGAATGCCATCGAATGGATTTTGGATATCCAAACAGGCTGCCGAAGAAAAGCAAATACACACATGTGACCGCGTAGCCGTTGGTCTAATGCATAGTATTCTCTCGAAAAGTCCGGCTTTTCAAGTCCCTTATGGGTCTGCCGTCAAAACTTCCGTAAAAGTTAGAGAAGCCCTGTTAAACTGTACAAGGTAGATTAAACCGTTCCAGGAAGTCAGAAACCGTTTTGCTAAGTTGTGGAGTTTTTCAACTCATTCCAACTCGTGAACTTGTGGGGCGAATAAATTAAGGTTGCTACTACTGTCCTATTCAGCAACAAAGTGTGTAAACGGATGTACTAGGTGAGCACTAACCACGCTTCCAACCATAACGATGATGATGACAGCAATTTACTGGAAGNGATTTAATAATGTATCTCTGAAAAAAGGCGGACACGTTAGGATGCAAAGCTGTTTGCAGTGCGTGAGATCAAAGCTATAGAACCACAGTGGCCTGTCCGTGTCAGGAGAGCTCCAATTATTGCTACATTTCTGTGGGGCCGAGTTGCGACGTAAAATGGAATTAATCGATTTCACGATCACCTACGGCTGGTTTATAGGATTCAAATCCCGTCATGACATCTGCGGTCAAATTGCGTGCTCTGAAGCGAAGTAACCATCCTCCAATTGAACAATTTACTCCGTCACAGAGACTAGACGTTACCGTGGTTTGACGATTTGTGTGCCTCCGTCACTCATTGCGCTATGTTAAGTGCCCCCCATGCGACACCCCCAGTCTGTCGTACCAGGTTGGTCAGTGGTTGGACGTCTGACCAGCAGTCTCCTTACCATCCAATTTGGGGTTTGGAACATGTACAGTGACTTGTTCAATAAAAAGTGCTAATGAATCAGCATGTTCTGCCAAACACCGCTGCCTCGTAGTCAGTCTTTTGAGTCAAACGCCAAGTCGTCCTCCTGTTTTGGTCTAAGTGTCAATGTTGAACAGGGCTATTTTGCTGTCGATGATGATGACAGCAATTTACTGGAAGGGTCCGCTGCAATTCATTTAGTTGGACCTTTTGCTTCGTAAGTTTACAATGTGAACCGATTAGATCTAATTTTCGAACGGCGCTAAGCAGAAGCCTTGCGCTGAAGGTCGCTTCCAATTGGCGCCATTCGAAATTCAGAACTAATACGGTTATATAACACGGACTAGCCACCGGACACTTTGCATATACATCACCGACTGGATGTCCAGAAAAATTTGAAAAAGAAAGCACCTCTCCTTGACTACTTGAAAGTCTGCAAACACATCCCCTATATCTTTACACTTCATCATGTCTTACGACGAAAACATTTATACGGGTTGTTTGAATAGATACCTACACAACACACTGACTTTTGATAGTCTAAGTCCTCCCGACGGGTCTGCCTTATTCGACTTTTTTTTAACACATTTGCTTCAAAGGTTTTAGCAGTTCTACCAATCAGATGATTATGGCTATGAGTTTATTGGTGTGATGGCTTCCTCCCAAAAAGAAGCTTTGTGGACCACATGTTTACCCTACATCGAATTCTGGAGCCGGACTAAATTCTATCAGCACACTACTCTCTGCTTCGTCGACTTTCGATATTCGGCTTTATCCACCGTCAATCATTATGGACTATCCTTTCTTCTCACTCTTGACGTACCCATCAACGCCTACAACTTTTCCGTAAAGCTCGAAGTCTTCCCTGGGTTAGTTTGTGCGTGTCCATTGACGAATCTCGACAATTCGCTTCAGACTCGATGTTGTTGTACTCCACCTGGTTATATTCTAACACAATAGCACCTAGTGGCACCGGACGCCATAGAGGGTTTGATGCCGTAAAGTTGTTGTAAACCTCATGCCAACTTGTGTTCGTTCTTAAATTTTAAAAGGCGTCTAGTTTTTATGTGGTAACACGGAGGCAAATTGACTATAACCGTTACAATCACAATTCTGACAACCCATTATCATAAAAGAGACTCGACGGAGGGGTTTTACTGTATAGATGCAGTATGATATCATAACCCATTGTTCTCCAAACATTTATGGTTTTCTGTAAATAAAAGTGATTAAATCTGACTTGCTACGCGCACAGCAGGTCATGGTTAAGCCACTAACTTAATGCGTTTTCCACTCACGTTCGCAGGCCCTTTCCACAATTCCCACAACTGGTTCTTCATCTACTCACACAACTACCCTTGGTCCTATCACTTCACGAGCTGCAGCCGGTGACGCTGGAAGCATCAGTTTGTCCGGTTGGAGCGAAGATGCTGCATCTTTGAAGACACTAGATCGTCTGATTGGGATGACTCGACACCCGACTGCCACGGCCAACAGCAGCGTTGGTGTTATTGGCGGCGGTGCGGGGGCTGCGATAGCTCCGTGCATCCGAGAGAATGGTGAATTGCCCAACACTTTGGGTCTTGGGACTGGTGGATCTGGTGACCGTAACTCCCACAACGCATCGGTCAACGGATATCCAGATGGCGTTTCAGCTCGTGCTGTGGATTCCATCAGCCAGCAATTTCAACAACAGCAACAATATCAAAACGCAACACATGAAACCCGGCCCCCACCTTTGGAGGTAAGGATTCTTTGTGTTTGGCAATGGACTATTTGGGTTTCAAGTTGATTTTCAATTTGCATACGGCATTTTTATCCACCGTCTCTATGAACAGGTCACTTTCTGGGAGAACTTCTTGTTTGACAGTCTGACACTAAACGGCACGGCCGAAAGTGACTGCAGGCATATCCTAAAGCATCCTAACTTTTGTAATGTCGCAGGCATCCAATTATCAGCCTTGTGACAAATAACGATGCGCTGTTTATACACAGAACCGTTAGTTGATGATTTCGTCAGCAAAACACGTCGCAGTTTGGGATTTTTTCCAGATAAGCCCCGCCAAAAAATTAACCTCCGCGACCCAAAAAAGAGGATATGAAATTTGTACTTTTAGCTTTTATTGAAGAGAGTGAAACTGATACAGCAATAATAATTTGCATGAAAAGGTCCGTTTTTCGGTACCTTTGTCTCCAAACGAACTCACACAAGTAACTGTCCACTAAAAATCGGTATGTGCCGCGTTGGCGTTTATTCTGCATCTTGTAGACGTGTCAGAGATTCGATGGTTTGCGTGTGAGCTCCAGTCGTTGGATCCACAAAGTTTTCGGTGTGATTAACCGTTTCATGGGTTAACAGCGGTTGTGTGGCTAATAGATAATTTCTCTGAGCAAAATTTGATTTTTGCCAAATTTTTTGGACTAGCAATAAATGAATAGAATCACTGTCGTAAACTCCATCGAAGACCGATTTCTTGCTGACATTACACCCCCACCTGTCAGAAATAGTTGAAGTGGCGGGGCTTATCTGGAAAAGATCCGCAGTTTGTGCGTTCAGGATCATTCATACTGCCCCCTGAGCTAGATTGCCATTGCCCTGCGAACCAAGTGAGGCCTCCGCACCCCTTGGGCCCAGGCTGTCAACCCTTGAAAGGAAGAAGGCCTTCGCTGCGGAGTTATTTATTAGAAAATGCCAACTGACCAGTTACAGACTATTGGACAGGGAAGTAAAACTCTCATTTGCATCTTATTTACAGAAACTGAACATCCATCTTCTCTTGAACGTGTCCTCCTGAACTTTCCTGGATATTCATTGAGTGTTGCTCAAGTCCAAGCAAATGCTACAAAGCGAGTCCACAATTCCGCAATAGATCTCCCTTTTCAAGCGAATTTACAAGAAAACATACTACTCGCATGCCTCCCCCATCAGTAGTATCACCGTTACACCCGTATTGCTGCCACGATAGGCTTTGGTTTTTACTGAACTCGGCGTTCCCATAGGATTGGCTGATTCGTGTCTGATGCAAACTTCTATCAATCGATACCACTCGAGTAAGTGTGGCATCCTGTAGGTCCAAACAACAATGGTCTCCTAGTTGTACACACTTGCACAGGAACGGATGCAATATTGTACAAAGTAACCAGCACTTGTTTGTTGGTGATGGCAGGTCACGTGTTTTATCGTTGCGATGGTCCTAAAAACAATGATAAAGCTTCTGGATGGACGTATTTGCAGTTGAACCAGGAGCTATAGGCCGATGTTCCATTGCCAGTTCTAGGTTGGTTACTCCTAACCACTTTACGGAGGTTCTCCGACTTCAGTCTACACTGATTTCACTGGTTTCCGATATCTACCCGCCTTAGTAGAAATTCTGCGGAGTGGCGCGTTGGGGATGATGCGATTCAGACACAAAATGACGCGAAAGTTCTCACCAGAGGTTAACAGGTACCTAATTTTTCATTATATATGCGGAAAAACTACAAATTCCTTCACAACTAGAAGAATTCGCTGCAAACTGGAGAGAAGTACGTGTCCACTCCGATTGATGATTAGCCAATTACCCTAAAGAGGCGCGCACGAATGCGTACATACCCACCCAAGAAGCCTGACATGTGAAATCTAGTTTTCAGTTTTGATGGACATTGAAGCGATAGTGTTCGTGCATACCTAGGGTCTTCTAGAATTCAATAACGTAACGAGAGTTTGGTCAAAGATGCAGCTCATCGACTTATGGAGGGTTTGTTCAACAAGAGGTATAGTATGGTATCGATACACACCACTTTTTTCAACAACTTCGTGCTGTCGGCGTACTACAAAGGCGGAAAGTGACCGCAGTCGGGACTGGTCTGTCCAGTCTACCTGGACGAGGTTGTGCTGAGGTGTTCAACATACTGGACGGTGGAAATTGTGTAGAACATTTCAAACGATTGTGTTACTAGAAAAGCATATCCTTCTGTTTTGTGCGATAACTTATCAAGCAGATATACAGGATCGTCTGGGATCTATATGAACCGATAGGACGCCGGTAGCATCCGTGTGAAATATATCTAGCAAACTTTTAATTTGTCCTGGAATTAAAAGCATTTACTCTTATTTTCCATCTAGTTCCCTCAAAAATTTGGTGATCCATCTTCACAATGGGTCTACTGGTACACAAAAGATATTCGAATCTTGATATCTAATCGTGTCTGTTGCTGCGGTTACGTTGCACTCCATCAGAATATGTCTCATCTTTTGAAATCCCTTGAAAGAACTCTAAGTTCTGTACAAACACTCAAGACAAACCTCCATCCCTGTATTTGTAGGGACTTGTGGTCGAACTCGTCCAACTAGTCGTTGAGTGATAGTGAATTTTCTAACCGTTCTTGTGTTAGTCTTAGAAGTTCGTAGTTCACGTGACCCATGTGAGTATCCTGGCAAGCAAGCACTATCCACTTACGCAAGCTAGTCTATCGCCTTGTTCCTCCAAGACAATCCATCCCTCCCAACTGTAGCACCGTTCTGCTCCCACAGACTGTCATTGCAGCGTCACTTGCGCGCGAATTACCTCCACCCGCCTCCTCTCTTTGTCCGTGAACCCACTAAGTGACTGCCGAAAACTGTGATGTTTTGCAGCAAGACACTATCAACACCGCAAGTGCTATTGCTGTGACAAGGACACCGTCGTGATAACTTTAGTAACTTAGCTAATGAAGCGATAAAGAGACATCGATCACTCCGTATGCCTATTCGCCCAACGGTCAGCCAGTCACTAGTAAGCTTGAAAAAGTAGAACGGATTTACCCACATGCAATGTGATCGAAGCATCCAAATCCGTTCATATGCGATGGGAATAAATTATCATTTCCTGACCTAAGTGGCAGCATCCCCAGGACTGCTAGTGCTGCAATTAGCTCAGTCTTGTATGTCATCGTCCCATCTATCGCATGTGATTTCCTCTCCAAAAGAGTAGTCACTTTATAACTGTCTGTCCGATTTTCTGAACGGAAACTCTATCTTTGGTCGGCCAGAGTTTTTCAATATATCATGGCAACCACGTTTAGCGTTAGCCATATGCTAGCCCGCCAGAACTACCACTGGCAGTGATTGGATGGTTCTCTGGTAGCTAAAATACACACTACTGGTACATGCCCGTTCACTTGTAGCTCTGCCCTCTTTCCACAGAACAGTGCTAGCTAGCTAATGTACTGACTCTTTGTGGTCTCTGCTGTCATCCATACAGAGGACTACTAAGTAAGCTTTTTCCGTTGAAGTGTACATCTGTATGTAATCCACTGTGACGACACTGTTTCAAACTCCTCTCGTAACACACCACGCATTAGCATGCGGTGTCAGGGCTGGTCCTCAGACATTCGTTCATGGTGTGGTGCTTGTGTTCTCCCACAGAATGATCGCCTTCCCCCGATGGAACGGTGCGGAACGCAAAGAGATTTGCAGCCATCCACTTCCTTATATATAAATAAAAATCGCCCAGCTGTAACACCTTTTCGGTGCCTAGCTGCCATGCCACACGAAGGAAGCACGAGGGCTTGGATACTGCCAGGTAGCCCAAGCCTAGACAGGGGAAGTCGAGTGGCAGAGGTCGGGTTGAAACCACGAACCTTCCGGACAGTAAATTCGCGCTCTAACCACTTGGTCCATCTCGCTCCCCCATCTCGCTTCCTCATATATTCAGTATTAATGATCAGACGTAAGACCAGTAGGCATCAATCCAGCGAAACATTCGCATGGCAGTTATTGATGCATCTAAAGCGAATATACCACTAGCGGACACACGGGCAATATTCCGTAAAGTACGAACATGGTAGATTTACTGTAAGTTCGGAGTGGCGACCACCCCACCTTCCAACAGAGAAGGCAAAGTAAGATCCCCGTCAGTTTACCATAACACTTACAAGTGCATCTTCCTCGAAAGTGTTTTCTCTTTTCTGTGGCCACAGTTTATCTCCAAAGATGCCACTGGGAGTTCAGAGCGAATTTTGTGTATTGTCCTTCGCGCGATGCACATATGATTTATCATCATCAGCAGCTGTAGAAACTGCGTAATTATCGTACAGTGTTTATACCTGCCACGGTTTCGTTCACCGATGATTTGAGGAGGTGGGTATAGAGCTGCCCACTGAAGGCGGTAGCTCACATAATTGGTGTGTAAATACAGGGTTCTTAGTGGTCTTTTAAACGGAAGGTTGGTAGGGGAGCTGTGCATTGAAGGTAATATCTTGGATGCATGAGCCCCTTTGAGGACGCGACTGGACCATGTCTGACAATGTCTCTAGGCATTTATGTGTCCCGTCTCGGGGTCCCCATCCATGGAGACAGCAATGGCCAGGACAGCTGGTAATGGCTGCCAAGTCATTGTTTAACTTCTCCTGGCTCGTTTCTACCTTTCACCTGGTTGTGCGAAAAGAGCCTTCTGAAGAATTCAACTCGTTCAAATGGAGATTCATCAACAAATGCGTTACTATGAATATAATGATAAAATTGCACAAAACTCATCGTGGCATTACAGCAGCTTCTATACACCGGTTTAGGAACTGCTAATTCCAAACGGGATCCAAAAGTTCACACCGACTCAAGGCACGGTGGCTACAAGATAACGAAACCCACATGTTGGTTTAAACAAGTCGTACGATGACAAAGTCAAAGAGCTGTTCGCGTTCAGTTCAAAACAGGAAAGGTGATAAAGGCAAAAAACGGAGAATGACGTTGCACATAATAAGGACAGAAGAAGGGAATTAACAAATAAGTCCTACCGACGACTGAGTATAGTCGGATGCCTTAGAGTTTTACAGACTAAATTCGATCCCATGGCTGGTGCTAGCTTATTATCAAAGCTAACACTAACACCACCTCATCCACTGTACGTCACATCATCTAGGCAATACAGACCGTATTAGTGCGAATCTATTTGGGTGTTTGACGGAACCCTAGCCTTCAAGTTCACATTTTTTTATATGGGCTCCAAACGATTTGAGAAGCGAGTAGTGTTAGAACCACACTCATGCACCAACCGCAAGACTAGTTATACACGACTTTATCTCGTCTTGTGCTGCCCTTGTATGCCAGTTTCATTGTTCTGTTCGAATAGACATCGACCTCTGAATTACATTCCTTTTCGCTGGTTCCGACTACCCACAAAGTAACTATTGGACCACGTGTTTCAGGTGATCCCGTGCCACTGTTGTTACATCTGACAATCTCGGGTGCATCGCGTGACTATTATGTGAACCTGGAAATGTAATTGAGATTGAGTCGGGACCAGCCTCTCGAACAAAGGTGTTCAATGCAATATACAGTATAGTTGGGGACCTAGCTAAAATTATTGTTTTCTTGATTGGTCTTTGATTCACTCCGATATGTAGTGCGGAGCCAGGTGCTTGTCAGACTTCCTGAACACCGGGTAACTCCCATAGGATAGATGTCGGATGGAGCATAATCACTGATAACCTGGAACGAAGGTCTGCCGGGAAATACTGCTGCGAATGTTGTTCACTCGTGCGGTACTAAGTGCTAACACCAGGTACAGTGTAACTGACTTGGTTGTCCGAAACCTAGAATGTATTACTAAAGACAATTCAGTTTTCCGGGCAGCGATACAACATCCGAATCCTAAGGGGTCTTATCGGAGCGTGATCTTTAGTACGTACACATTGTAACTGAACTTTTCAGCCCTCTTTTTGAACCCATCGTCGGAATGGCAGACTTATCCAAATTTCTCATACGAAACCGGCTCCATTGGATACTGGTATAGTGATGTAGTCATCCTTTGTTAGCTATGGGTTTGGGTTGTCCGTACTTAGGATCAAATTTTCATTCTGGAGTTCTTCCAGAGATCCGGAAGTCATTGAAGACATAAAACAACACAAGAATCTGAACCAGGGATCCACGTCTCAGAATCGTTCCGAAGAAATGACTCCAGAAGTATCCCACATTATCAACAGTTATAGCTTCTGCCATTATTTGATCGGCATCGCAAGATCCGCTGCAAGTTCGAAAACAGAGTCCAGAAAAAACCATGGGGTTCTGGTAGCTTCTAGCAGCCAGAAGTAAAGTTGCCAAAAAGGGATTGACGGTGCACATAATAAGAATAGAAGAAGGAAATCAACATGGCTGTCATCCTGCTGCTGTCGTGGACGTAAGGGTCTTTCAAAGGATGTACACCAAGACTCCTTGGCAGCGTATCCCTTAAAGCAACTGCCTTTGGTCGGTCCCATTTTAGTAGTGGCGGACGCTGTGGCAGCTATTGGGCACCTATGCACTATCCTATGGAACACTCACCCATCTGAAGCGACTCTTCTGGACAAGTCCCGTCGACGGTCGCTACGGAGACGTAATCCTACTGATTTCTCTCGAGTAGTTAATTCAGCTATTAATCGCAGTTTCGCGGATGAGGATCGTCCAGGTTTAAGTCGGGCCTTACACGACACAAACTGGCTAATGAAAATGCGGATGTTTTATGTTAAACCTACCACAGTATAATTCAATAAAACAAATTATGACTGGCTTCTTGCTTGGGGAAATCAAACACGCACTGTAATCCCGTGCAGTTGTCAACTACATTTAACAATGGTCAATAAACTAGGATGAAAAACCGTCACAATTTCTGTACGATTGTCAGAAGAACGTAGTCGTTTATTTTGCACACAGATTGCGGATTTTGTTGAGGTTATCCCGAGGGGAGGTATTTAGACCCTCTCCCTATCACAGCCTCTGCGTTCGCAATTCTTAGCCTTCCGTCTGTGTCTCTCTATAGTCCACAGTGCCGTTTGTCTTCGATTTCTGGCAATTATCTTCGTAACCCCTCGCATCCATCAGCCTTTGGATTTATCGTTGCTGCGTCCATTGAGCTGACCGTCTGCTTATATTGCTCTTTCATTTCAGAACGATTCTTACTGCAATTTTTACGAGCCCGAATCATCTGGAACCAGGGTTGTGAACTTCACTCATATGAACGGGCCATTTGGTCCCGTGTCGGATGATGTTGCCCTTCCGGTCCAGCGATCTGCACCAGATTCTAACGCCAGTCCACATCGTGCCTCCATCCCCAGTTCATTACCAAGTAGTACCGCAACAGCATCTCAAAATGGATTTGGCAGTGCCCGGAGACCAGGACCGATTGCTTCGCGACCGCCGATTTGGTCGGCCACTGTTAGCCGACTACCCATCCACACCAGTTTGCCTGGTGATCGTGGCCTCCATGGTGATTCGGCCTCCCTATGTGCACCCCAAGGTATTTCCAGATTCACCAACCTCCCGTTCTCGATATTTTATGTGTTCCAGTGGTTAGCAGGTTTCGCTAAGTTCCGGGATTCCGAATTTTGTCCACCTGTCAATCCTCATGCATCATCTCATCATCACTTGTGTGTAATGGTCATTGATAGGTTATCTATCTCTAAACATGAATCCGTACCAACCACGTGACTCTTGTCAAGGCAATCTTGTTTACCGTTTAACAGAAAATACATGGATTCTTAACAGATTTAAAAGCGCTCCGCTAAGTGAGATAGGCTTCTCAACCATTATGAGATCTGATGTCTACTATAATGTACTGTACTAACAAGGAAATGCTTGTCGCTATCTAGACTAGTTGGTCCATTTCCCTTTCTATAATTTCTCCTTTGCATGTCAGGTCAGAATGTCTAAAAACCTATGGGCATATGAATACTGCCACCGACAGGCTACATCTTACTAGGGCCAACCTCCCGCTTGGACGATTCTTCAATGTCATATTGTTACTGAAACCAAACAATGAATCGCTCTTGTGTGAATTCAACGTTAGTTTGAAGCAGTTTTCCCACAATACATGTTTGCTTTTCCACCTAAACACACAAAAACAACTGAACCCGCATAATTTTGTGCTTTTTTGTACTGGCATTCTAGCCACTGACCATCAGTCCATTTTGCCCCTTTCTCGCTCATCACATTCTGCCGTAGCCACTCCCGTTCATTCACCAACCACGGATTCGATCGCGGAGTCAGATCTGGGCCGCTTCGGATTTGGCTTTCCAACGGCGGAACTCACCGCTCCACGTGCGTCGCAGGAAACTCTGAGTACAGCTGCTTCGCAAACTTCTGTCTTCCATGCCTCCTTGTCCACACCGGGTGGTTTCCGAATTCAGTCTCCTGTGAATTCCGAGGGCGTCTCCTTGTCGGCCAGTGTGGATTCGAGAGACCCTTGTTTCAGCTCCTCTCTGGGACCCACCGGGACTATGTTGCCTCCGAGAGGTACATACAGTTGAAGTATTCCCCCTAGGACTCCCACACACACACACGTTTCGTTCTTTTAATCCATACTCTAATGTTTTAGATAACGATTTTCAAAATGCTATCCCTCCCTGCTGTCTGTACTATGTCACTCTCTGTATAATCTTTGATTTTGTTTCTCGCCCCTGATCGCTGCGACGAATCCCAATATAGGGTGGCCAGTGTTCAATGTCTATGCCAGACTGCTTTCTAGCTTACCTCATAGATCATTTTTAAACCCTAAATTGTTTTGTCGGTCTCTCTGCTTGCCCCATAGTGTCCATCTTTTTTTCCCACCCCAACTGGTGATCATGGTATTTTTGTGTCATTACCGTTTCTCATACTCCGCTTCTACCAACCCACCTCCAATATTTTTGTTTGAAACTCCCATCATGAAAGCCGCGAATAAAAAGCACCAAGTATTCCCGGACTCCCACACACACACACGTTTCGTTCTTTTAATCCATACTCTAATGTTTTAGATAACGATTTTCAAAATGCTATCCCTCCCTGCTGTCTGTACTATGTCACTCTCTGTATAATCTTTGATTTTGTTTCTCGCCCCTGATCGCTGCGACGAATCCCAATATAGGGTGGCCAGTGTTCAATGTCTATGCCAGACTGCTTTCTAGCTTACCTCATAGATCATTTTTAAACCCTAAATTGTTTTGTCGGTCTCTCTGCTTGCCCCATAGTGTCCATCTTTTTTTTCCACCCCAACTGGTGATCATGGTATTTTTGTGTCATTACCGTTTCTCATACTCCGCTTCTACCAACCCACCTCCAATATTTTTGTTTGAAACTCCCATCATGAAAGCCGCGAATAAAAAGCACCACAGACACTGCAAACAATCCTCAAAGCCAACATTTTCTGTGAAGTTCGCAACATTCCGCGCAATAGGAAGAAGGCGCTGTTTTTTTACCGTTTTTTAATCCACTCACTCCGATGGTGTTTCTGTGGCTTGTAGGTCGGATTCGGTGAACACGTTATATGGCTGTGATTTCGGGTGCATTGCGGTAGTCCACCCCCACCCACTCACCCAGTTCTTCAAAAAAAACATGTTCCACTCGGATTGTCCCGTTCCCGCTCTCATTCTCAGATCACTGACCGAAACTAGCTCTATAAATCGCCGTTCCTGCTGCTGTCTATCTATGTGTCACTGTTGAACAACAACTCCCACCCCCCCCCCTGCCGGTATGATCATTCGGAATAGGAATGATATTCCAGCTGCAGTGCTCCCTGTGTGTGTTCAATAGAATCATGCTCTCTGTATTTATTTACTATTCACTGAGTCGTTGTCTTCTTTCTGGTTGGTTATTTCATGTGCTTGTGTTCATGGGAATTTTTCCGACTCACTAGTGTTTAGCAGCTATTTAGGTCAATCGTACGGGGGTCGATACGTCGTCTTCCTGTCCTCCTCTCCCGTTTGTTCGGAATCGGAACGGTATTTTAGAGCAAATTGTTTTGTTGAATCCACTGGCGGACTTAGATTTTCTATCACTGTCGTAATAACCTTATGGTTGAGGGAATTGTGCATCCGAGTTCAATCGAATCATCTGTACCTTATCGACTAACTGCGATATAAGTTATTCTACCATACCGAACGTTTCTCCTATAGTCGTTCAAATCAGAAGGATTTCAAACATATGGGGGATCTTCTTCAGCACGAAGTTCGTTACTCTTATCTACGACCTGGAACGTTGTGGACAAGATTACATACATGGAAAGTTGTTATCCGAGAAGGTTTGCGCCTAGATGATTCACCAGAATAGTCCTGAATTATGATGTTGTCTATTACAGTCGATAGTTATTGATCGGAGACCAACCGTGAAGTCCAAACCTGAACAAATCAAGCCTACTACTCTACCTTTCCCTCCTGAAACACCATTTGGAACTGATTTTCTCGCCCAGTGATCCTATTTTTCTTTCAATGTGAGGGACAGTGCGAAACGACTCAGTGGTTAGAGCGCGAACTTACTGACCGGAAGGTCCATGGTTCGAACCCGACCTCTGCCTCTCGACTTCCACTGTCTAGGCTTAGGCAACCTGACAGTATCCCAGCCCATGTGCTTCCTTCGGGTGACATGGCAGCTAGGCACCGAAAAGGTGCTACAGCTGGGCGATTTTTATTTATATATAAGGAAGTGGATGGCTGCAAATCTCTTTGCGTTCCGCACCGTTCCATCGGGGGGAGACTAGTGTGTGTGTGTCGTTTATCCAGAGTCCGTAAATCTCCGCATGTGAAACTCAACGCTATCATTCTCCCACGTATGATTGTTCACGGACGTGATTAGCTTGTACTCAGTTCGAAATTAAGGTGATGACAGATTTCATTACATGTTCTGGTACTGACTGGCTTCTTGAGTGATTGCTTCCCATAAAAATGCCTTTATGACCTCTTCTGAGCAGAATGTTTATATTTTCGAAGGCTAGAGCCACCGAGTAAGGCGGGAAGGTTTTGGTTAGACCCCGTGCACAGTCGTATCCTTTTCCTCTATATTGCTCATACCTGACGAGCGAGTCCCAGGCACTCCAATTCCCATCAGTCCATTCATATTTTTGGTGTTTCCAAGTTGGATTTCGTCCTTCATATTCGGTTGACCATGGTTTAAATGCCTAAACACACCGTTTAGCTGGTACATTCTTTTTGGGAACAGTTGGTGGTGTGCATCTCGCAAGTTGCTGGCTAGTTTCCAGGACTATTAGTGCAGCTCAGACCTAGCTAGGGGTTTGAACACGCTCATCAAAGAACCTAGGTTGAGACGTGCACCCCACAGGTTGGCAGCACTATCGGTGAATAATGATCCCGTACTCCGGCCACTCAACAGATCTTTATGCTGTAGGAAACCTCAGACTTCGATTATCCGGTGAGCAGAGCTCAGTTGTTTTGTCGAAAATTCAGTTTCAAACAGTTGGTGATCTCGGACAAACAAAGGTCGCCACAGACAGTGGACCAATCACAAATGAACGTGCAAAGAGCGGTGATCTGATAAAAACTCGGCTTTGCATCAGTAGATTGAAATTTCCTAAAAGTGAGGCGAGTCTTCAATCAACCAGAAGATATTTGGAGCCGAGCTTTCATAAACACTGGGTTTATCGCTTAGCAACGTCTTGTTTTTTATACCAAAGCTTCACCAGGCCAAGGGAACAAGTTACCAGCTTTTTGAGACGAACAAAGAAACTACCAGTGAGATTTGCAATTAGCCGACTTGATCACTACTGAATGCTGGTCAGAAGTGCATGTTTGTTGTCTGATGCAGATGACTAACACTGACGACAGATGAGTGGGAAAGGTTGGATCAGGAACTTCCGTTCATGGAGGTATCTTTGGTCACAGTCCCAATAACCAGAGGCTCCAATGTATCACCAGCAGAGAGAGGGTCTTTAAACACATTCAACCAAATGGCTATTATCGTAATCGCGAAGACGGATAAGGCTAAAACCACCCTACTGATGAATGAGGGAGACTATTTACGGAAGGTTAAACAACACCCAGCTGACGAAATTTAGCAATGGAACAACTACGCCAGTAATGCATCAGAGTAAGGCTGAACTTGGGAAGTATTCAGGTGTTCAATCGTTTGGGACGAAACAGGTGATATCCGTTGTTTCCGATCTGTTGAAATCTGTGTAGCTTGGGTGTGTTTACTGGTGGTTGATCAGATGGCAGTTGATCTGTTCACCGAGCTTGGAAATTGGTTTGCAAACGTTTCGTCCCCGGTCAAGGGGATATCGTCAGTACGCAGTTGAATGGGTGCTTCTTCCGTGTTTAGTTTAGATAGTTTTTGACGAAACGTTTGCAAACCGATTGCCAAGCTCGGTGAACAGATCAACTACCATCTGATCAACATATACCCGTTGTATCCCAAAAGTGCAATTCAACCCGGAATTACTGGGCTAACAAAAAAATCACAAGGCAGTTGTCTCCAAAATACAATTGGTGAATGGCATAGATTCACCACCACATGAGCCAACCTGATTTCTCTCTATTATCCCGAAGCCACTTACCGGTAAGTCATTCACATGCGAAATTCTTGTGGTTTTGCTAAAAAGCAGCCACTGGATTTCCGTTGGAGCTGGGCGATGTTCTGGTCAATTTTGATGTCAACTCTATGTAAACGAATATTCGTATGACTGACCTTCTACTCATAACGGTACTACAGGGCAAGACAAGGTTGCTACTGGCAGACTCAAAGCAACCCTCCGTGGATTAGGTAGTTGAGGGCATCAGAATGTGCTTCGACCTCGGTCAATTTGTTTTTAGGAGAACATGGTCTGGTAATGGGATCTCCATTATCCCCCTTTTTAGTTAACTTGTGTAGGAAAGACTTGACAGGAAGTGCCAGCCTGATTCGAGTGTCCATCCAAAGTTTTTTAACGTTCCATCGATCAAAGGTGGTAACGAATGCCATCGATACCTTAACACTTAGGATCCGTATACTAAGTTCAGTATGAAGCTAGAGTCCTAGTTCGAATACATAGTCCGTTCTAGACTGCAGCAGTGGTGAGAAGTTGGAAATTGTCACTTACGAGAAACCAACAGGCACTGGTGTGGTCTTAAAGTACTTACCAGTAGTATGCTCTGGCACACCATACTTAGCCGAGTGAGAGAGCATCGACGGTATGCAGCAGCACAGATTGAAACAAAGAAGAGGCGTCCAGAAAGTAGAAACCCATATGTGTTTAATTAAGCCGTAACTAGGACGGCTATTGTCCTTAGGAATTGACACGAGGAATGAGTCGAAACAGCAGTCATGTCATACAAAACAAGATGATGTTGAATACGGCTTACATTAGAAGATCATTCCAGAAGGAAACACATGGTGTTAAATACTGGTGCACTTTAAGAGTCGCTTCCCGAGACTGTATATACAAAATGAAATTGAACGACTGCACGAAGGTTCAGCAAGTTGTCCACCAGAATCGGTGAGATCGGTGCGTAAACAGACCACCAAGAAACGCGAATGAATATCAGGTGATTTTAAATACTCTGAAACGGCGAAAGATTCAATGGACACGTAACAGACATGGAAAGTGTGGAAGTTTTGAAATGAGGACAAATATTCACGCCACAGCGAGTGGCGGCTGTGAAAATCCTCAACCATCCCAGAGTGAATGGAATAGAGGGCGTCGTACTGACAGGTGTGTGGAGAGCGGCTTTAGATCAGCCGACGTCACACGAGACGGCGTTCGATTATCAGTGAAGTGTTCTGGGTCTAAAGTACAAAACCAAAACAGTGTAAAATCCACTTAACCCCCCTCCCCCCAATCCCCTTAGCATACAGACCGACAACATCTGTGAACGATGCCCAAAAGGAATACTGCATCAAGGTGTCCTGGATCGGCAGGGTGACGGCCAAAAATCCTGATTCAACCTGATAACAGGTTTTCTCAAATCCATCCGTCCTAAGTGTTAGTCATCCATGCTAAACACCGAACAAGAATTTCTGTTTCAGTTAAGAAACCTCACTTGTTGTTTCTCCGTTTACCCAAGATACTCGGTCAACCTGGTAATTTATTCACTTGGACTGACGAAGCTTTTGTGCAAGATGAGTCTTTTTATCTTTTATTGACGTCCGAACTGTGGTTCTAAACATCACACGTGTTCGAGATTACCTTGGCCGCAGTGTCACCAGCTGCATATATGATGAACTCATAGCATCGGCCGTAGATCGATAAACATTTTATAAATAAACAAAACCGCAGGCTACCTGTATACAGGCCATCACTTGTGTGTGGACAACAACTCGCGTTGCCTCAGCAACAATTCGCGAGTAATCCATCAACATTCGTCGATGTACTATTGTTTCGTTGATCTTAACGGTGAATACGACTAGTTTCGGTCAACATGTGAGCTTTTTGTTGACCAGATATTTCAGTAAGAGAACCAGGAAACGTTTGTAGGAACGGAATAGACACGTCAGGCTTAGTACTTATTGAATTTTGTGATGGGAAGGTCTTGAGTGACTGTAGAGTTGTCTACGGAACATTCCTACCTCCAATTCGGCAGTCGATTATCAAGAAGATGAATGCACAAGTCCCGTTTTCGGATCGTCGCGCTAAAGTAATCGAGTTTGGCTGATCAGTTAAGCTACCTGGTGCCGTACGAACCTATCAGGGGAGGAATTGTGGTGTTTCACTCAGAAAATTGAATCACATAAAATACAGAAGCGTGCGTCTAGCTGTTGGTCAGGTGGCAGTTGATCTTTTCGCCCAGTTTCCCTATTGGCTTTCAAACGTTTTGTCACCACGTGTGGAGACATCGTCAGTGCGCTGTTGAGTTGGCACTTCTGCTTGCGTTCATGTAGTGTCTGAAGTGCAGTTAATAACTGTGACGTCGTGTTTTTTGTTTGCTTGCATCTTTACAGTGAAGGCGAGGCAGAAACTTACTTAGTCACAGAGTTTCCCGTAAATCGGGGGTAGTTTTCACTGATGACCTGGTGAAAAAGTGAAAAAGAAAAGTAAGGAAATGCACAGTGAGAAACCAGATGGGAAGAGAGAAAGAGTGGCTTTAGGCAGGAAATGGACCAAGTGCCACCGCCATACTCTTGTACGGGAGATCTGTTGCACCCACTTTAAGCGTAGCTTCTCGAGACTGAAGACACGGGCCGTTGGATTCAGTGCTAAAAATGACCGTCTTCTTTTTACACTGCCAGATGCCCAAGTCTTAATACTACATTCCACACCTTAAAGAAGTAATGAGCACACAGAACGTTTTTATGACATTGTTCTCAAAGGCTTGTCCTCTTTATGACTTCCCCTTTGTCCAGCCCCAGCTTTTAGTAAGCCTAGACTCTTTTGAATTATTGATAGCGACACATTTTGTTTACACTAAAAGCTTCACTCATGAATCTTTTGGCACCGTCCAAGTGCCACCGTTGACATCCATTACTATCAGGAAGGTCAGATTCCCGGAACCTACTGCCCCACCAAAATCTCAACAGGAAAGCCGGCAAGCATCCAGGCCAGTCAATCATTCAATCAATTCAGCAAAAGCCGAAGAGTGATCATGCACACCACAAAAGCACGACCGAATGTGATCAGCGTTCAGGCATTTCATAGAGGCACGATCGGTGTTGATAGGTGTTCACTGACACCTATCAGACAGCCCGGATCAATGTCAGAAAGTCCTTTTTTAAATAGCTTGGAGCCGTTGTAACTTTTGCTCTCGCACGCACTCACTTGCTGGTTCAGAATATAGCTTTGCGTTCCGTTCTAATAGTCTTTTTTTCCGGCATTAGGCACCGGAACGGGTCAGCAGCAAATACCACAGATTTACGGATCAGCAGATATAACAACTACCGATGTTGCAGCTTGAATATCGTTCACCTATGATCCATCATCAGTAGTTTATCTAAACTCTAAATAGGAAATACCCAAATGAAACGATAGCTGGATCATCACCTCATATGAACTTCACAAACCGTGTGCGTTTAGACGTGCGCGACATTACTTCCCATGTGGATGCGTAACCCGTTCGTTTTCAAGACTTTTCTCCCTTCAAGTACACCACAACTTGCAAGGAGTAAATTTCAGGTCAAAAGGTTTCACTCCATTGTTTGAAGCTCAGAGGAACTCTGTGGAATGACCACCCCCTATCAGGGAAAGTGCCTCCTCTCATGTGTGTCCGTTTTTTGGAAAAATGCCGACAGCTGAGGATCCGGGCACTATTGGAAAGGAGAAATGCCCAGCTCATCAAGAATTCTCGTCCTCAAGTAAACTGAGCTTCCTTAAGATACTCGATATTGGTGTCTTGCAGTCCTGGACTTCACGGAAGCGTATCAGCCGCTTCTTTCAATTTTTTGTACGCGCGGAATACTCAAATGGCTACTCAATCTAGTGACATTTCGACCGACCAATCGCGGTCAATTTAACGTTAACGAAATCCTTGTTGCGTCATTAATTCAAAACTGCCTACTTTACTTACACTGAATTGGATTAAGTTCAACAAACCAAAGGAACGGTGGTTCTCGAACTAACCAACAAGGCTTCAAGCAGTTTCACAAAGTTCACTGCGGATTCGAATAATTCAAGTGATTTTGGATGGAATAGCCTAATTAACTGACTTTTCAAGAATATAGCGAGACGAACATATGACACGCCCACAGCTGCAGTTATACGTGTACCTCCTGTAACACCCCCCCCCAACTCACCAATTTTATCGAATTTCGGGTCAAAACAGTACCTCATATGATGCAAGCTCGTCTCTTCAGGTGAAAAACTCACTGAAACTTGTGGAGACTGGAAACGAGAGAATGACGGTACAATAATGTTTGAAACTGAACACTGGGCGGAAAACTGAGAAAGCCGGTAGCCAATGCTCTCCTTATTATGCATACCGTCACAACGGCGTATACTACTGCTGCGACATGTTAGTAGCCTGTAGTCATGTCGAAGCCCCGCTCGGCGTTTAATGGAAGGTGAAGTTTACTACGGATATTGTGTAACTGCTTTCCGACGTTCGCTTACAATTGTGTAATAGTCAATGGATATCTATCAAAGTTCAAGAAGACGCGTGAGAATGTTCAGTTTAAAAATATGTGCATATGAGAAGTTTGCTTACCTGTCCAGTAGCTTGTAACCGCTTAGATGGTGGTTGCTAATGATTGAATTCACAACAGAGGGTTTCCTCCTTTCACCGGTATAACTGGAGTAGAATCTAACAAGTTTGGTGGACAAAATGATCGACCAAGAGTGTATCAGATTTTCTATGAGGAGTCACATTTTACGGGATCAGATCAATAAAAAATGACAATCGTTCAGCCGTAACACCTTTAAGGTACCTAGCTGCCATGCCACCCGAAGGAAGCACGCGGGTCGGGATATTGCCAGGTTGTCTAAACCTAGACAGGAGGAGTTGAGAAGCAGATGTTGGGTTCGAACCACGAAACCTTCCTGAAGTAAATTAGCGCCCTAACCACCAAGCCATCTCGCCCTCATGGAAATCAGAAGCACCAAATTTGTGCAGCCATAAATGGACATCCCTTTTTTCAAATCACTTCGTCCTTTCATGGTTTTTTACCTGGACATCCAGAAATTTGCCAGAAAAACCTCTTCGGACCCACCACTATGCACGGGCTATACATTTTAATAATGCGTTAGTTGTTATCTTCCTGTAAACACTTTATCGATAAATGGTTATACTAAAGCGGTCCAATCGACATCTGCAGTACATAACCTGCGCCCATCTCAAGGTATCACTGAATGTGGCTTGGTAATATTTGAACATTTTAACGCTTAATTTAATTCAGTTATTTCTGACAAACTTAATTTCATGTAAACAAAAGCTAAGGTCATATCCTACGTTCATCCGAACTACTATCCATTACGCGTCCATTAGGAAAGTTCACAACCTTTGATTTAGAAACCCTCAAGTGGCTCTGTTCCTGGTTATTCGCGCCCCACTGCGTACAAACTTCGAATTATTCCTACTGGCCTAAAGCGCCCAATGATAAACGTATTCAGCATCTTTCTCCATTTCAGAGTGCACAATTTTCTGTCCTCTTTTCAGCCACGGTTGAAGGCTTTACTTAACTGGACTTGGTTTCTATAGATCCACACGAGTATCGTGAAACTCGATCAGTAAAAAACGTCGTAGACCCCTATTGTCTAAGGCTCACTGAATTAATGAGACGTTTCACTATATATAGCTCTATAGACCCTTGAAGGATGTTTCCAAAGCTAAAAATCAAATATCACAGAGAAGCTAATTTCAATTGCCTTCAGTTTATTCTTTAGATAAAACAACACTGGGTACGAGAGAATGCTTTACTAAAAATCCACGTATGCAGGAACTGCTCGCTGTCGAATGGTTTAGTCACTAAAGTGGACCAAATGTGGTCAATGCTGCCTGAGTAACCTGATCACCTTTGACAGGCTGCTCAAGCACTTTATCCCTGGATCAAAATATCTCAAGGCAACTTCTCGCCATATCAGTTTGTCATGGCACGATTTATCGCTTGGTATTTGAGCAAACAACCACTACTTGAGTGAGTAATTCAGACTCAAGCGTGTAGTACAAGTCTCAATCACTAACTGCACTACAAGTCTAATACACAATACGAAAGGGTAGGGTATA